AGTGCTTGTATTTGAAGTGAATCACAGAGCAGAGGAATAAATAATTATTTTGGGTACTGTACAGTGATTCAGCCCTGGGAAACTCTTGCCTGAGTGAGGAAGTGAGATAGTTTTATAATTATTTTTTTCCACCACACTGTTTTTACAGGAAAGTTTATAATTAATTGCTTTTTTTTTTTTAATTGTTTCCACTTAGATGTTTACCCAACTACTGCGAACATGGAGGAAAATGCTCTCAGTCCTGGACTGCTTTTTATTGTGATTGTAATGATACAGGCTACATGGGAGCCACCTGTCATAACTGTAAGTAAACCCACACGTACAGTGTTTTCTAGCACAGCTGGTATGTCAGGGTGCATATAAACCAGAGAGAGCTTTGTGAGAGGTCATATCATATTATAGGATGTAGCATGTCCTGACACGGTTTGAACAGATCAAGAGTTGGACTGGCAATGCCACAGGAATCCATTTGCAAATATGTATGTTTCTTTACAAATATTTTGGAGAAAACGAAACCAGATTATTTTAACCAGTTTTCCACATTTTTTTCTCACATTATACATTGATATAGAGAATCTTAAATTCCTTTATGTTACATACGCATCATAGACACATTGGTCATTAGACACTTAGTTTCATTTAGCTGGGCTGAGCTGGATGATTTTAATCCGTGTTTGGGGCTGTACATCAATTCTGGCACCATGGGCTTCTTTGTTTTTAGATTATCCAAAAGTTTTTGGAATTTTGCTGAACTATTATTTGGGCTGCTGCTATTAGCAAGGCTACAGTATCTGAAATAGTGGTAGTACAGGAAGCGTTCAGCTACTGAAATCCACAGCAAAAGAAATATTAAGGTGTTTTAAATGTTTAAAAAAGATAAAAATCGAACAGTAGAGGCACAGCATCCTGGGAATTTTAATAAAAATAGAGAGATAAAGGGGAGGCCAAAATAAAGCCTGTTCATACAGCAGATTAAAAGGGAAAAGAATTAGAAAATGAAGGTAAACTTCCTGTTCTATCACTGGAAATAAAGAGAAAAAAAGGAGTGAGTAAGAATAACAGTTCCAGGAATACAACTATAACCACTCCAGGTGTTTGATGACCACTCAGACCGCACATAGGATGAGATTTGTGAGAGATGCAATTTTTCCCCTGTTCAGCTAAAAAGCAGAAGGGAAGAAAAGGTACTTAGTGGTTTGAAGCTGAGAATATTGGCAACCGTACTGTAATTCTGGAGACTTTAATGGTTTGCTAATTAATGATGAAATCATTTGTGGTGTGGGGTCTGCAGCTGACAGGAGAGGCTGTTGAGAGGTCTATTTATAGATTCATCACCTGAACTCTACATTGTAAGCACAAAGGAAGCTAAGGGGTTGGTGCAAAAATCATGCCAAGCCAGATGAAGGATGGGAAGAAAAATGCTGAACTTATAATTTTGAAAAGTGGGTTTACTTTCTGTCCAACGTTTATGTTGTTCCAAAAGGCCTGTCTTCAGGCCTCCTGTCTTCAAAAACTCCAAACCCAACCCAGAGTACATGCAGTGTTTGAGGCTGTGTCAGAGTATTTACACCATTTTGGTTGGTCAAAAACTGGATGGCCAAACTGGTTGGTGAGAAGGGAGAGGCTCCTTGGGGAAGGAAGAGGCCGGTCGCTATTGACCATGAAAGGCGATTACAGACGCTAACCTCTAGGCCGGGTCTGCGCTGCCATATTAACTCGGGGCCTGAGGCTTACTGTGTCTGTGCCAGCTCGGTGTGGCTTGTGTCCAAAGGAGACCATCTCATCACTGCAGAGGGTTGGTTCGTGACTAGTTTGCCCCACAGACGTTTTCATGGAGCTAGTGAAGCCTTCTGCTTCTGTGAGCTCATGCCTGCGCTCTCAAAGGCACATACACAGCTGCGGTTATTTAAGGTTCACTGATGTAAAAACTACTCTGAAAAGTTTCTCGGGAAGATCTTGTGTTAAGGCTTCCCAGCAGATCAAGCTGCGCCCACATGATGTACAGCTATTCAGCTGCTCATCTTATTTACAACCATATTACCAACAGCTAATTTGATTCCAGCTAGATTGTAGAGCCAGCTGCCCTGTAAGCCAAGCAACGCTGATAAACGGCAACATTAGTCTGGAGAAATACATTCATGTGCTTGAAATGTGTGATGAAACCATTTCAAAGCTGGTGGGCAAATGCAGACTGTTGATAAGAAACCTGCAGAACAAGAGACGTTATCGCTTTCAGCTGATAGTGGTTGACGTACAGGAGTACCTTGCAGCAGGTGAATGAAAGCTGCAGATCTGATCACAGCGTAACCCCGGAATATCCTCAGTGTACAGACAACTCTTCCAATCATGTAATGTGGTGTAGTTCTATCAAAGTAATACATCTAATTTCTTTAGGTTTGAAACATTATCTCGGCAGATTTTGATTTTTCACTAGAACACTGAGGCTGGCAGGCCTGAAATTGAACTTGTGCCACTTTGGAGAGGCTATTTCTTTTATTAAACTGCCTTTCAAAACCAAGTCCACACAGCAACGGTGGAGAGATTTAACTGGCAATCTGCTGCAAGTCAAACATAGTGTGAAAAGTTTCATTGTCAGCTGGATTTCTTTTCTGTCTGAGTTACAACAGTGTGGTTCTTTTTGACATGGTGTTTGTAAGAGGTGGGTACCACTGGTTGAGAAGTGTAAAAAGACCCATTCCTTGCCATGTTCTCAGGAAGAACTGCATCACATGCATCTGCAAATCAGAATTAACTTGTTTTATATTTTATCAGCTTAGACTGGGACACCTCACCATTTTAAGAACTGAGATCTGAAGGTACATTGTCCCCTACTTACTGTCATAGTCTGTAAAGTGTTGAAATACATTTTGTGGTTGATACATAAGCAGTCATAGTGGTTTCTTCCAAATATTCATGGACCACACTGGATCATGCTGTGAAGAACAGCTAATAATACAGACTATCCCTGCTCCACAGAGTTTGCAGTTAAGTTTCTGAGGGGAAAAAACACACTGGCACAGGTGATGGAGTGCCAGAAAGTCTTCATCACCATCATAGGTGGCAGTTTCAGTCTACCAGGTACATAATTATTGCTGGGCTTTCTTGTAGGCAAAAAGTCATAAGGTAGAGATTAGAAAGAGGAAGAAATTGAATGCTCGCAGGCATGAGTGAGTGACATGGGAGAAAGCAATAATGTGCTTGTTTGAAAAATATAAGGCTATGGCCAGAGGAGTTTGACATTTTTGACAGGGCAAATGCCAGAGCCATGACAGGTAGATAGGTTGGAAATACGTTATGAAAAACAAAGATAAATAGTTTGCATTTGATGCAACAGAAAGATGGTAGACAGTGGCAGGGCAGAACAGTAAGTTGATAGAAGACACAGCTGGGACAATGTTTGCATGACCACATCGGATAAGTGGTACAAGTGGGACACAATGTCCGTCATGACTGAAGATGGGTATAGTTGAAATCCAAGAGGTGTGACTGAAGCAAAAATGCACATCTCAAGGTACATATAAAGAACTAGCTGGGTCTAGACATGGCCTCAATATAATGTTCCTGAAGGTAAGCAATTTCCTGCAAACCTCAGGTATCCTCCTGCTCACTGAAAATCCCTTCTGATCCTGAAAGATCCTAAAGTGTCACAGGAGGTGCAGCAACCTACCTCATCCAGATGAGGGTCCACCCCTGAAAGGGTGTAGGGTCATATCCCATTAATAGCTATTCTGTGGCAGACAAATTTCACCATGAAGTCTTATCTTGTCATGCTTCTGTTCTCCTCCTCTTCTCTGAACTTAGCTGTAAATACAAGTAAAATAGCGCTAAAGCTCGTTGGTGTTTTCTGGGTTTCAGTAACATATGGGAAGAGTCTGAATGTTTTCTGAACAGGTTGTTTCTTTCTTGCATAGCTTGTTGTCTGATGCATAAGTCCATTTCTCTGTTTAGTAACTGTTAATCCTCCTTCACAACCTGCCACATGTGGAATTAAAGTCTTTTTTTTTTCCTTTGTTTTTTCTTTTTTTCCAATGGGGAGAGAGGATTTGGCTTTACCTCTCATCATTCCAGCTTCCAATTCACATCTTCGTGCTGGCTAGTCACAGCACTGATTAGCAATTGTGTTTTCATCTCTATGCTATCCGTAGCTGTGAAACTCTAAATCATGTGCTAGTGCCTTGCTGTCATGAATGCATGTGGACATGCAATTTGATGGGAAATGTAGAATTTGTGCTGACTGTCCCTGGTACCCATTTCACTGCCAGCAGTTTGGAGAAACTAGGAGTCATGGAAAAACACTATAGGATATTAAACCAACGGTAGGTGACTTACATTTGCTTGTGTATGAGTTTTGTGGCGCCTTAGTTTCTCCGCCTGTGTTGGGAATAAGATCCAATTTGCAGGTATATTAGAAGGTGTGTGATCTATATCGTCTACTGAAATGGTATGGATTCTTTCCTTTGAAACTACTACTGTTTGCATACTGCTACTTGAGCTGCTCTGTGCTAAGACAGTACTTTGAGGATACAATCTTATTTCGAGTCTGTAAAATGCATGTGTTTGCTTTTTGCTTTATCTTTTAAATGAGCTTCACACAGCTTGTGTTTAAATAGGGTGGAAGATTACCTCAACTGAAATGTTTTCAGCGATAGATACTTCCCCAATTTTTACGGTGTGGTGGGTGGCCTACTGATACATCAGGTATGGGAGTAGTCTGATATCATCCAGATAGATAGGAGAGGATTCTTTATGTAATCACATGTGTGAACCATAGCAAAATAGATAATAATGTAATGTTTGCTTTCGGTTTTCCTCTTTTAGATAGAAACACTGATGTTAGTACACAGCTTCGGAAAAAGGCCTGGGTGGGATTTAGCTCATCTATTTTTTGCCGTCTGATACTGTGACATCTAATCTCAGATAGCGGTCTGCTCTCTCTGTGTATGTGACAGTGTGAGCTGTTTTCAGAATTTGACTAATTTTACCGTGAGATAGGGTGCCCATGGTAAGTTCATGGACTATCTCTGAAATGTTCCCGTGTCTGTCATCCATAGCAGGAGACTGTCTTAGGTTAGACATAGAGTAGGCAACTGATTCAGAATGGTAAGTGTGTATAGAGAGAGAGAAACAGAGGGAGAGAAATTACAGGTGCATATATATACAGAATATTTTTAATTGAAAGGTCACAGTTTAAAACCTGCATCGTCATCTGTCTTATACTAATAGTTCTCCTTGTAATTATCATGTGACAGTGAAAGCAGTAGAGCAGTGTAAAATGGCCCTGAGATACAGAAAGTTATAACTTT